ACACAACTTACAACTTTTGAGAGCAAAATAACATGACCACGAGCATAGCCACTAAGCTTTCCATAACCCATGACACCACCATAAACACTCGCTCTATTTCCATCCAAACTGGCTAAAACTGAAGTCACCCTGATTTCATGAAATAGTTCTTGACTAACACACTCAATTGCACCTTTCATGCAGCCAAGCAAGACCCTTCAATTAACAGTCCAAAATGTAATCAACAAGCAACGGTAACGACACTACAAACTGAAAAGAACCAAACTTTGAGTATGAACTTTCCTATTCGATTTGCCTCCATAAAACACAAATCAAGTCTCTCCAATCAAAAAGTTAATACTGGCATGCATAAAGGAAGGAACACAATCCCTAGCTAGGTAAGATTGGAGCAACTTTTTTTGAGATCACGCATGGTTGAGATTGCATCACAATCTTGCACCAAGGTTCACTTGATGAATCACGGCATAACCTATCAATTGCATCACAATCTTGCTCTAATAGTAAACTGAAGTACTAATCACATAAACGTAGACGGAGCCAGCAAAATAAAAAGCTCAAATGAATGCAAAGAATCACATAAGACTAATGCTTTAGTTCACATCAACACAAAAGCTCATGCAAAGAATCACAGAAGACAAATGCTTCGATTACCCTTTTCTAGAATACATCCACACAACAAGCATACTACAAGTAGTTGCTAGCTTAACCACAATGGGAACATGATTAGGACTCCTCTCCCAGGGCTCACAAAGACAAGATGAATCGCATGCTTGGAATGACGATTATGTAACTCAAAAAGGCAATAGCTCTCTCGATACGTGCAACTCACACCGGTTTTCCAAGTGAAATAGAGTTTCCATTTATGAAAAAGTAAAAAAAAAGTTTCCAATACTAATTTATGATATCATTTTCATGAGATAGCATTTAGCTATGGTGGAAAACCACATAAAGAACACATGATATTTGCTTGGTTCATACATGCTATTTCCTAGGATCTTTCACCAAGTGTGAGTTTTCTTGGTGACAAACATTTTCCTCTTTGGTACATGATTAGATTGTTCACTACCCAGCAAGGCAACCACAACCATGCACAACTCTCCCTTCAACCTTCAATGTGTAAATCGACTCACAGACGTAAAAGTAAGATTCGAGATTGTTCAGAAAGCAGTAATTTACGTATGTTACAAAAAAAATGTCACGGAAGATCAGGGAAATTGATAGCCCTAAGACCACTGAGTCGTTTGCTGAGGTTAGTTCCCCTGATAAACTCGAAACAGTATCTGTCTAGGGATGTATAAAACTCATTCCCGGCCTTGAGGCCTGATATGAGAAACTTAAAGAAGCAAAATTGACTATGAGTTAACTCTATAAACAGCAAAAACCCTGAAAATAACTCGAACTCTAGTGGGATGTGGGAGATAAAAATTGACTATTAAGTAAACTCGACAAACCCATTCCTTACATCCCTAAAACCCAATCAAGACCAAAGAACTAAAGAAGCAAGCAGAACAACCCCAGCACAGTTATTCTCTTCAGTTTGAAAGCAAAGGCAACAACGAAATGAACAACCCCAACACAGTTTATGGGATTATATAAACCAAGACAGCTTCCTAGTTGACACTGAATCCTCCATTCACAAATACCTCCTAGGTCACATCAACGATCTGTGTGAGGAATGAAGTTATATGGTGGATGGCCACAGCTATTTGCACAAAAAAGTGCAGACTTTCTGAAGCTTCATCAATCACGGAATGACTAAAGATGCCCCCATCTCAATCAAACTCGGCCGTGACAAAATACAGCACAACCAAGAACTACACTTGAGAGAGCTTCAATACTCATTGCACAAGATGTTAAAGCTAAAGAGATAGACAAACCAAATCACAGAAGAAGACACTGGAAAAGATGGAGCACATCAGAATTCCCACTTCACACAATTGATAAAACCGAGAGACGGAAAGGAATATCGCATCTTATATCACCATATCCAATTGAGAATGCACATGAAGAAAGCAGTGGAGAAGCTTCAATTTCAATCCCAAATGGTTACACAGAATTGAGAAATTCTCTCTTCTACTTCCATAGTTCAATCTGGTAAAACGAGCATGGAATTTCAATCCCCCTACTGAAATTTGTAAATCTAGAACATCCCAATATAATCCCTAAACTGATAGCCATACTAACCGGAAAATTGAATAAAATTGTAGAACTGTAGGCATACTAACCGGAAAAAGTTGCAGTGGAGGAGGTAGGTCTTCGTTTGCTATCGATGGGAAGAGGGGGTTCTGTGCAGGGTCTTCGTTTGCTATCGATGGGAAGAGGGGGTTCTGTGCAGGGTCTTCGTTTGCTATCGATGGGAAGAGGGTCTTCGTTTGCAATCGACGAAGAGATGCTCGCTCTCGTCGTCCCCTGCTCGCCGCCTTCACTGTCGTCGTCGGAATCCGGCTCGCCGCAGTCAAAGAGCAGCTGCAATCGACAAGCTTCTTCTACTCGTCGTCACCCACTGCTCGCCGCCTTCACTGTCGTCGTCGGAATCCGGCTCGCCGCAGTCAAAGAGATGCTGCAATCGACAAGCTTCTTCTACTCGTCGTCACCCACTGCTCGCCGTCTTCACTGTCGTCGTCAGAATCTGGCTCGCGTGGAGAGGATCGAAGGAAGAGGATCGAAGGAAGAGTAAACGGCGGTGAGAAGAAGTGAGAAGAAGGTTGCGTGTAAGAAGAAGGCTGCGTGTAAGGTTGAATTCGTAAAAAAATTTCAGACAACCGGTTGTACCGGTTCTCCACCCACAAATAAAATAACAAATTAATAATTTAAATAAAATCTATGGTTGATATAGTTTGAACATAATCTAATGGCTGTAAATGTTTTATAGCACCAATACTATAAAGCACACTAAAATGCCTCGTCACTCAATCATCTATTCCAATTCACAAAGCAAAATGCATGGCAATTGTAATCAACAAGTAATCAAGTCAAAACATCCATTCATTTTTTCACACATGAGAACTAAACATTTGCACTATCCTAATGCAACTCTCAATCATCATCATAGGACATACTCGATCACATGCAACAATTCAAGGTCAATGCCAATAAACACGAGATTTTCCCGCAAACCGGCCACTTTGATCATGCAAACATTGCTTGGAGCCCCACACTTAAGCTCGACATTGCCCTCAATGGCGTAAGATAGGGGTAGAATGATGTTACTGCTTTGCTTGGTGAGTGAAAGTTGGAATTCTTTCCGGGGTATGAGATTTAGAGCTTCAAGGAGAAGAAAAAAACACACATACACAAACACAATACGACTCGCTCAAGGCGAGGTTATTACACAACACAATGCTATAGTAGTAGTAGGAAAACTTGCCTCCAAGGTAACATTTGAGGCGGTGTCCATTCACTTTGAAAGTCCCTTTCTCTGGATGGGATATCTCTACCGCCCTGTATGGGAACACTTGCGTTACCACATACGAGCCTGACCATTTCGATCTTAACTTCCCGAGGAACAATCGCAACTAGGAGTTGTATAAGAGTACTTGGTCTCCTGGTTGGAAATCCTTCCCTCCTTTCAGTCGAGCATCATGAAGGAGCTTCGTCTTTTCCTTGTAAATTTTGGTGTTCTCATTGGCTTGGAGACGCCACTCCTCGAGTTCAAGCACCTGCAACTTTAATTCATTTCCACGCAAAATAGGGTCCATATTCAATAGCTTTGTGGCCAAGAAAGCCTTATACTCTAGCTCTTCGGGCAAGTGGCAAGCCTTGCCATACACCAATTGGTAAGGCGAGACGCCTATTGGGGTTTTGTAGGCTGTGTGGTACGCCCATAGAGCATCATCGAGTTTTGTCGACCAATCCTTGCGGGATTGATCCACGGTCTTTTCTATTATCCTTTTTAGTTCCGTATTTGATAACTCAACTTGTCCACTAGTCTAGGGATGATAGGCCATTGACACCCGGTGGATAACACCATAGCGATCGAGGATTCTGTCGAATTGACCCTGAAAATGGGTTCCTCGGTCGCTAATGATGGTCCTCGGGGTCCCAAATCTTGAAAACAGCTTTTTAAGGAATCCACAGACTCGTCTTGCAACATTGGTGGGGAGAGCTTGAGCCTCAACCCACCTTGAGACGTACTCAACTACCACTCATGCGCATGACGTACAACGCAAAGCAACCCCAACAAGATGACCCACTGCCAAGCTTAACATATTGCTAAAACTCAACTCGCGAATTCACTTGATGAAGCCACTTGCGCACCGCTTAGCACGTAAATTGCCTCCAAAGAGACAATTCAAAGAAACCCACATTCGTCGAGAGCAAATTAATATCGATACACGGTTTACCCGCAGTCGATGTTCCACAAAAACATTTTTGAACAACCCACATTCACCTCCGAAGGGACAAATCATAGAAACCCACATTCGTCGAGGGAAAATATCGATACATGGTTTACCCGCTGTCGATGTTCCACAAACACATTTCGGT